TATAACGACCCTTCCAATCCTATCTTCTCAAGGAAGTGTAGGATTTGGAGTGGCTTCAAGTTCAAGGTATTTGGTATCCTCCTAGGTGTAGTGCCCTTGGATTTTGGAGTGCTACATATTCAGTTAGAATGTGAATGGAGGTTTCGTCCTTCTCCTCACAGAATCTGCAATCACTGTCCTCTACTACTCTCAGTTTACTAAGGTGTTGCAATACGTAGCCTGTTCTTGCTTAGACAGATGCAGGCTTCCGATCTTTTTCTAATTATATTCACCCAAAAGTATCTTAGCCTGTCTCAACCCCAAGAGATTGTTCCAATTACCGGTTCTTCTACTACCCAATTCTTTTTTAATCTCTCCTAATATTATGTTACTGCTGATACCGCAGAATGGCTCAGATCCTACAAAGGGTGTTTGAGCCCTTTTCCTTGCAAGACTATCTATAATCTGTCCCGGGACCCAAGTGAGAGTAACTCTATATTTCTCGTCTAGCTCATTTAATTGTTCTAGGCATCTCCAGTTCATTTTTGAGCTGATTATGCAAGACCTCAGCGCTTTGATGGTTGCTTGGCTATCGGACATGATATGATAGTTTCTCTGGATGTTAAACTGGATACACTTCTCGATGGTGTAAATTTCTTCCTGGAAGATGTTTGGGTATTTTCCCAAGCTTTCGGAGTGCTTGGTTCTCGGCCCATACACTCCTATTCCAGTTACTTCTATCGTTTTGGAGTCAAAAGAGCATACATTGCTTGTGAACAATGCCATCAAACTGTGGGGCGTACCTTGAGTTTCTCCCCTAGAGTCGTCGCATGGACTTACACGGCTCTCATAAAACCTATGCTAACATACGATGCAGTTGTCTGGGTACCAAAAACTCAAAAATTGACCGCTATCCCTAAACTAAAAAAAATTTAAAGGAGAGCATGTCTTAACACAACAGAAACCATGCAAACAACACCGACCAAAGTCATAGAGGTCATTCTTAGTCTCATTCCCCTCGATATTTACATCAAGGAGGTTACTCTGTCGACAATGACACGCCTCCTCACGGTTGAAATAGAATCTGATGTAGGATCAGGTGTGGCAAGACGTGGCTTTTAACAGGAGGCGCTCGATACGCTTCAAGTGAACATAAACTTTATCTCACCAAGATATATCTTCCAAAGGCCATATAAAATTGTAACAGAACAAACAGAAGAGCCGGAAATGGCAGGTACGATTCATATCTACACTTACAGTTTTAAAACAAAACAAGGCTCAGGATGTAGAATATACTCCAGATCCTTAAACCTAAACATAAAATGGGCTGCGAGCAATAGTGCCAGTACAGTTCAAACAGGGCTCACGGGGATTCTCTTCGCAACAAAAGAAATCACCAAAAACAATATCACTGGAAGGAACATGCTCATCTATACAGATACCAGACAAGCACTACTCAACCTGAAAAGATATCGAATTTACACAGGGTTAGTACTAGATTGTCACGAAGCTTTGACCGTATTATACATCTACAACGTGGCACCATAAGATGTATCAAAGGTCACGCCACATCGAAAGGTCTTGCTGATTCACTAGAAAGCAGCCAACCAAATACTTTTTGGACCCGGCCCTTCTATTGGCCTGACAAAATCGGTAGTAACAGACCTAATTAAAGAACATTCTCTTGAGAAATTCAATGAAAGATGGGATGGAACAAAAAATTACAGAGTTGCCAGGAAGCTTTTAAGTTATACTGAAAACACTGCAGCAAACAAATACTGATGACTAGACATAATCTGCGCCTAGTCACAGGCATTCTGACTGGTTATTGCTAAGTACGGAAGCATCTCCACATAATGGGGCTGTTAGAATCCGCACTCTGCAGAAGGTGCAAACAAAAGGATAAGACCATCAAGCATATTCTCTACGATTTCTCGACGCTCCTATTTATTAAATTTGTGTTTTGCTAGTATCGGCTAACATTGACCGATATAAGAAAAGTACCTCTTGGCGACGTTGTCAACTACATTAAATCTGTAGGCTGGCTCACAAGCTAGGAGGTCCTATCATCTTAGGAGGACGCACAATGGTCCTAGTGAGGCCTAAGTGCCGTGTGGGCAACCCACCCTCCACAGGTTACAGATACAGAGAAAGTACCGGTATTTTTGTTTTTATTTGTTCTTTGTTTTTAGTCTTCTTTGGGAAAAGTACAGCTTGAATGTTTGAATTAAGCTTTTTCCTTATGATGTTATGGATTAATTTTATAATTAAAGAAAATACCTCTTAAAAAATCAATAATATTACTTGGTCCATTACCGCGATTATTATTGTAAACTTCAAACAAGTTTTTTTATTCTTCTATCAGAATGGATAACAGTTTTAATGCTATCGACGAACCATCCAACCATTTGGAAATTTATCGAGAGCCTGAAAACTGCCCAACGGAAGAGATGTTGCTTATGAGTATTTACTTGTGGAAACCGAACCTACTCCAAAAATACAAAAATGTATTCATGTTGACAGAAAAAATAAAAAATGTCGTTGAAGTTTTTAATAATAATAACGGTAATGGCCCAAATAATATTCAATTTTTAACAGGTATTTCCCACAATTATAAAATGAATCCGTAACATCAGAAGACTGAAAAAAAGCTTAATTCAAACATTCAAGCTGTACTTTCGCCAAAGAAGACTGAAAAAAAGCATTATAAATTCCGGTCCTTTTCAGGATCACAAAAATATTTGTTACATTGAAGATTTAATTATTTTTTCTTATATATTACTTGCGTCCAAATGTCCCGCCCCTAAATCTCCCACGCCCAATTGTCCTGCTCCGCATAGAGAAGGAAAATGGTTTTAAAAAAAGTTTCAGTTACTATCACTTGGAACTTTAAATTATCGTGACATTTTAGTGGCAACATGGGTATTGAAATAGTTCCTGTTGATACTTTACGATTTTCAATTAAGGCCACTATTGAGTTTCAGAACATACATGTTAGATTGTCTAACTTTATAAATATTCTACTTGGGTTCGTGCATTACTTTTTAAAAAAATCAATTTTTTTATTTTTATTTAGTAGTGTTCATATGTTTATAGTAGTAATAAGTAACTAGGTTAGTCTACTAGTAGTTTTCGACTGAACATCGCATGCCTAAAACAATAGGTGATAGATTATTTGCTAAAGAAAAGAGTTACTCCCAGACCATCAGTGAGAGCAATACCACCAAGACTTTGCTGGATGCAATTAGAGTATCTCCTGGTTCACCTTGCAACATTGGTGCTGAGCTACTACCGACTTTTATTACGGGCTTACAAAACATTAGACAGATCTGTTACCTTCTACATTTTGGTTCCAACTGGACTTTTCTAGATGCCCTTACAAATTTGCTCTTTTTTTTGCAATGACCCAAATGGGGAAGTTGTGTCTCTTTTACTAATTCGTGTGGTTTCTCGAATATCACTAACAGTACGACTGACAAAGTATGGACGCACCGTTGTGCAAGTAACCTCTGCCAAGGTTTTAAACCGGCACCTTTATGCTATGTTGTGTTATGTTGTTATGGGGTATTAATGTACTGTGACCTAACATATTAATTGTGACTTCTTGTGTCAATAATACATAGAGGAAGTAGACTCGATGCCCATAACGAGCTTTACAATCATATCTTACCAAGGAAGTGTAGGATTTGAAGTGGCTTCAAGTAAGGTAGATCTCCCTCTTCTATTTGGTATGCTACTAAGTGTAGTGCCCTTGGATTCTAGTGTCACACATTCAGTCAAAATATAAATGGAGGTTTCATCCTCTTTCTCATAGAATCTGCACTCACTATATTCAACTACTCTCAGTTTACTAAGGTGTCCTTCGAGTCGGCAATGCCCGGTAAAAATCACTGGTTATATTCACTTAGAAGTGTTAGCACCAAGAGATTATTCCAATTATCGGTTTTTCTACTGCCTTTTATGCTATAGCCAACAGACAATAATGTTTTATACTAAAATTCATCTTGTCAGGTATCTCACATTTCATTGTTAACATTGTTTGTTTAAGCTACTTGTAAGTTCTTATTTTTTTCTCGCAGGAATAGCGTAGTTACTACCTTTTTCTTGAGGGTTTATTGGTAGTAGCTACTTACCAAAAACCGGTTGTAATATTATTTTAAGTGGGATTGACTTTGTGTTTACTTTGGTACTATACAAAGATGATCATACCTGAGGAGTTGGATACCCTCTTTCAGTACATTATATTTATATTTAAATTTATTACAATTGATGTCCTTTGAGTACTTCGCTTAAGAGAATGATGCTGAATAACGTTAGCTCCGTTTGAATTGAACAAACCATAATGGAGATGTTTGGGTCTTTTTGGCAATGCTACTAAGCATGTTCTTTTATTACATAATATTTAAATAACAATTTAAGTTTAATGCCTTGTGTTTCATTCGATTGAGACCAATAATAGAGGAGATATAAGCTTAGGATCTTTTGGCAATGTTGCTACTTGTCGTCGAGTTCTTTGAATACAATCGGCACATTTTAGCTCATTTTCTTCGTCTTAGAGACACTAGTGGCTCTTTTGGGGTCTCTTCTGGTCATCGGTCTTCGTCTTCGAGGCTTCTTCAATTCTCTTTACTGAAGAATTTAATAACTCAATGAACATGTTACCAAATGAGCCAGCAGCCCCATATCTCATCTACTATTATCTTATGGAAATTATACATGTTCACAAGAATATGTAATAATTTTTACCCTCCCTCTTACGAATGAACTCCGAAAAGTAAAACTTTTATGGGAGAGGGACGGATATTTTTTTTATAATTATTATTATTCGCCATTGCTTCGTGCTACTTAGAGATGATTAATAGTAGTTATTCATTTAAAAATGAGAAAACCTCACATGCCATCATCGACACGATATTCATTGGACTTGAAATCTGCTTGTCGTATCAACAAAAACTAAATTACTGATAATACCCAATTTATAATAAAATTATCCTATTTTTTAAAATCTCAATTTAATATCTAAATAAATGAGTATAACAATAAGTATATAAGAAAACATATACGTTTGTAATATGTACAAATAAATGTCACAAAATATGTCATAACGATACATTTTGTCTTCCTATTTGCTAATATCTAAATGAGGTAAATCTCTAGTTGTTCGCAATTATTTACACCTTGGCATCTTCTTTGATATCCGGCAGGATTTTAACCTCTCCCTGTTCAGCCACGCTTTCGTTGTTACCCTCTCGTTCCTCTTCCTCATCAATGATGCTGATATCCCGTATAGAAGGTCTGTGGCTTCTTCTCCAGGCTTCAGGGTCCGGAGTAAATTTGGTCTTCGTCAACAGTATTGGTCCTAAAACGGTGATCAGAATACCACCCAAGGGCGCTGTTAACATTATGGAAAGGACGCAAATTGTTAGGATTTTCTGTGCGTATTCGTGTTCCTTGGAACCAGCCGCTACCATTCCTAGTAAAACGGGTCCAAGAGCAGCCTAAAAAATAACAACAAAACGTTAAGGGGTTCCAGATTGTCTAACCAAAATTAATTACCTGTACTGTTGCTTTAGACATCCAAGATATAGCCACGAAGACCTTTTCCTTGAGATTCAGATTACATCCAATACCCAACACGACAGTAGTCAATATCCTAATTATAATGACGGTTATTAAAATACCCAAGCAGTAACAAACGAGACTGGCATCCAATTTATTTAGTTTTATGGAAGCTCCTGTGATTCCGAATAGGATAGGTTCGAAAATCATCCAGAATATTTCGAAGGCCGTATTGGCCGGATTCTCTTCTATGTCCCATCCTTGTCTCGACCAACATACTAGAGATACGAAGGCTGCTGCCACGCAAGCAAGTGGTCCCGCTCCTCCGAATCCAATCATATCGCTGCCGAATACAGAGATCATTCCTCCAACTAATAATAAAAGGATTCTTAGTGGTACTACGAATGGATCGTGACGTTCTGGGATGAAGTTCGAGAGGATACCCCATATTATTCCAAAACCAATGCCTGAAAAATCAAAATATGTCATTTTAGGCCATCATGCAACAATAAATATAAAAAGAACTACGTGTGTTGATAACACCTCTGACCTATTTATAATTGAAAGAATATTTCAATAATTACGTTATTTTTCGACATAATCTTCCTTAGTCCTAATGCATTTATCCCAGCGATGTTTCAATATTTTAAGAGAGTTAGAACGTCAACGTGACAATAGTATTTTGAAATATAATTTTAATTTTCAGTCTTTTGTGTTGGGTTTTCTCGTTTAACTTTATTTTTAGGTTCCCTTGTGTTATTTGTGTTAATACTTTTGAACTACATACTAGTGTAGTCGCATTAGTGAAGTGTCTTTCCAATGGGGGAGGCACTCTCTCCGGGAACTCTTTTCGGAGTCCCTAATCGTGTTGTTCTAAGTGATGATGAAATGATGAATGATATTAGCAATTTAACGCAGATGGAATATATTCCAGCAACCAAAACCCTAAGAGATGATAGAGAAATAAGTGATACTATGAGCGGTAATGTAATCAAAAATATAAATGAAGCAAATGTAAGTCAAATTAGTTCTATTAATAGTTCTTTTATCGCAAATTCAACAAATTCAACTAGCAAAGACGGAACCAATGTTACTGATAAAATCTCAGAAATCAATGGTGATAAACCAATTAATTCTCCTTCAATCAACAAGAGAGAAATATACTTATTCAGTCCAACTGATTCAGGTCCGTATTTTGTTTATATTGAAAACCATTCAGAAAATTTTGTAGGACAACTAAGACCTATGAAAATAGGAGAGATTATTTACAACGCTCATCCAGATCTCGACAACCATATTAAAAATATCGACTCAGTTGGACGTAATAGAATTAGAGTTAAATGCAAAGATTATAAAACAGCCAATTCGTTAATAAATTCTAACCAATTAAAAAATTATAATTTAAATGTTTATATTCCCCGTTCTATGCTCCACCAGCGAGGTATTATTAAATATGCCGATCTGGAATACTCAGATGAATATTTAAAACACAACATAAGGGAACACGACATGCACTGCAAATTTAGTGTCGATTCTGCTAAACGGTTTTCTAGAAAAATAACAAAAAATAATACCACAAAATTTGTCCCCACTCAGACTGTCTTAGTTACCTTTAAGTCACAAACTCTGCCAAAGTATTTAGAAATTAATCAAGTTATATTTGAAGTAGTTCCATATGTCGAAAAGGTGGTACTTTGCTATAACTGTTTTAGGTACGATCATTTGGGCAAACAATGTAAAAGTTCCAAGAGATGTGTAAAATGTAAACAAAACCATGAACCTGATATCTGTCCTGAAGTCAATCTACCCCCTCAATGTTTTAATTGCAATGGCGCTCACTATACCAATGCCACAAAAGAATGTCCAGAATTCTCACGACAAAAAGAAATTAAAAAGCTCATGTCACAAACTAACCTTTCTTATAAAGATGCTTGTGGAAAAACACCTAAAGCGACTTACGCTTTAATCACTTTAAATGGCTCTTCACAATCTAGACCCTTTTTTAACTGTAATTCATCTCCTAGACCTACCCATTTTACACAAACAATTTATCGGGATAATAAAAGGGCTCGCCCACAATCTCCTGATCCTATATTAAACATACACAAACAAATTGTTACTCCTGTTAATGTTCCTTCTTCCCCAGGAGGTATTCTACAATTTTCATTGTATTCCGCTAATTTACCAAAAACATTAAATCCACTTGTAAACCAGTCACAAAATAGTGTAGATATTTTAAACACTTCCCTAGTCTTAGACATAATTAATACTATTGTCAATACCCTAAAAAACAAAAATTCATTCGATATACAAGAACAAGATATTTTAGATACAATCAACTCTAAACTAAGAAACATCTCTTCAGTCTCGACCTTGTCAAACATCCACCAGTTTCGATCACATTAAATATTATTTTTTTAAAATTACATTTCAACTTACCATAGAAAAGCGATATCGACAAGGTCAGAATACACTTTAAACTAGTTATCTGCTTTCCCTAAAATACCCTATTTTAATATAATACTAAGAGTAGATTATAACCAAAAAAATAACTTCCGTTTCTTCATACATTACACTATGTGTGCAGACATAAATAGACTTTTCACAATGGTTCAATGGAATTGCAGATCAGCAGTTGCAAATAAAGCAAATTTAGAACATTTACTACATAATTACAATGTAAACATAGCTTTACTGTCAGAAACGTGTTTTAAACCCAACATTTATTATAATTTCGCTGGTTATAACTGTTGTCGAATGGACAGGGATGACGGTAAAGCAGGTGTAGCCTTATTAATAAAAAATAACTTATCTTACTTAGAGATTCCATTGGCAATAATATCAAAAATAATGGCTACGTGTGTGTGTGTTACTATAGGGAATTTTAAAAAATTACATATTGTTTCAGTTTATATTAAACCGTCATCTAAACTTACAGTAAATCAATTTGTAACTTTTTTTAATAACATACCAAAGCCATGTATTGTTGGTGGGGATTTCAATGCTCATCATCAAGCATTTGGCTCAAAAGCAGAAGATACCGAAGGTAAAAATTTACTAGAGGCATTAAATATATCTGGTCTAGTTTTTCTAAATACAGGAGAGTCAACTCTCATCACAAGACAGGACAAAGAAATAGTGCGATAGATATCACCTTTTGCTCTCAAAATGTCAGCCATCTTTTTGACTGGGAAGTAATTCAAGACCCACATGGATCAAATCATTTACCAGTCCTTTTAAAGTGTTCTGTAGAATCTACGGGATTAATCCCAAAGTCCCATAAAATTTGGAATATAAATAAAGCAAACTGGTCGGTCTTTAGTAATTACCTAGATGATCCAAGAAAGCAAACTGTAAACGATAGTTACGATAAGCTAATTACTGATATAAATGAAGCAGCCAGTATAGCCATTCCAAAGTACAGTTCAAATAAGGCATACAAACCAGAAAAATGCAAACCGTGGTGGATTGAAGAATGTAATAGGGCAGTTGATAAAAGAAAACTACTTTTCAGAATATTCAAAGAAAATCCCAACGTAACAAACCTTTATAATTACCAGAACCAAGATGCAGTCGTAAAACAAGTAACTAATCAGGCGAAAAGGAAAAGCTGGCGGGAGTACTGTAATAGTTTAAATAAAAATACACCTATGAAAGAGGTCTGGTCAAAATTAAACAGATTCAAAAATCGAAAGCAAACAAATAAGATTGTAATGGAATGGGGCGATTGGGCAGAAGATTTTCACAATAAAATAGCTCCCAATTGGGTTATTGAAAAACCCATGGAAATCCCCATTAATTCTAGGAATAATCATATTCTCAGTAGTCCTTTTTCAATACAAGAACTAAATCGAGCGTTAAAGAAAAATAATAACACTTCTCCAGGAATAGATAATATCCACTACCCGATGTTGTCAAACCTCCCTGCGATAACTAAACAACGCCTTTTAAATATATTAAATGACATCTGGACAAATAAAGCAAAAATCCCTGAAGTTTGGAGCAAATACCTTATAATCCCAATACACAAACCTGGGAAACCAATTGATTCTGCAGAATCATATAGACCTATCTCACTAGCGTCCTGTATCTTAAAAACTTATGAGAAAATAATTAAAAATAGATTAGAACATTGGTTGGAAAACCAGCAATTACTACCAACATTCCAGTACGGTTTTAGAAGAGGACGTTCAACTATAGAAGCAAGTGCCATATTTATTTCCGATGTTCAGAAGGCATTTACTGTAAATAATTCAATTTCAGCATTATTTTTGGATATAAAAGGGGCATATGATGCAGTTAATTTACGTATTTTGGCCGGGAAACTTCTAACAATAGGTATTCCTGAGAGAATAACGACTAACATCATCATGCTTTATGAAAATAGAAATTTATATTTAAAAATAAATGGACAGATTAGTCCTCCTAAATCAACTTCCCTCGGTATCCCTCAAGGTAGCATTCTAAGTCCCCTTCTTTTTGTATTATATACATCAGATTTTAACTTCATTATGCAACCCCAGACAAGAGTGCTGCAATTTGCAGATGATTTCTGTATATATTCTGAAAAAAAATCAATTGAAAATACAATAGTAGATTTACGAATAGCATCTGAAAGGGCCACACGTTGGGCAAGAAGAAATGGTTTCGAAATATCTCAAGAGAAATCAGTTATATGTACTTTTACTCGTCATCGGTACCAGCCACCAAATCATTTTAATTTAGGTCCACTTACGATTCCATGTAAATCATCTGTTAGATATCTTGGGGTAATACTCAATCAAAAATTATCCTGGAAAGATCACATTAATCATCTCGTTAAAAAAAGTGAGAATGCTATAAATATACTTAGAGCCTTTTCAAATACCAAATGGGGAGCGGATCCAAACATAGCCCTGATATTCTATAAAGCTCTCATCCGTTCAGTGCTTGACTATGGATGTGTACTATATGGAAATGCTAGTTTGAGTCAACTACAAAAAGTGGAAGTGATTAAAAATAAAAGTTTACGATTATGCCTAGGAACTTTACAAAGTACTCCTGTAAATGTATTAGAAGTAGAAGCAGCAGAACCAATACTTAAGCAATATTTTCGTATCAAAATTACTGTCTCAAAACCGTACTAGAGAGCTGCAAGAACTAGAAGCTAAAATAAATTATCCATATTGGAGACGTAAGAAGAAACCTCTATTAATATCAAGTTTACAACGACTAAATAATGTTCAGACCTTCCTTTATAAAAACAACAAACTTCCTTGTTATAACATAGAATATAATCTTCTTGATCTTCAACTAAAACTTTACTACTTTCAGTCAGAACACGTGCAATGCCGGAACATCATAAACCACATTACTAACAATACCATAAGTACCAGATGGCCAAACGCAGAATATATTTATACAGATGGATCAAAAATTGAAGACAAGACTGGATGCGCTTTATACCATTCCAACGACAATGTATCACGTATGTTTAAATTACCATCTCAAATGTCCATTTACACGGCAGAACTTATAGCAGTATTAGAAGCATTAAAATACGCCATTAATCATGATAAATCAAATTTCGTAATTTTAACAGACAGCAAAAGTGCTATTGATTCTTTAAAAAATATACAAATTTCAAGTACATTACCAGTAGTAATAATGAAGATTTTAGAAACAGCTAGTATTCTCCTAACTATGAGGAAGACCTTTTCTTTGGTTTGGATCAAAGGTCATCAAGGTATCATATGTAATGAAAAAGCAGACCAGTTTGCAAAATTAGCTACAAACTCTGGAATACTATTAGATAAACCACTAATGCCATCCTCGGATTTAAAATCTTTTTTTAAGAAAAAACAATTAGAAAGCTGACAAGAATTATATTCCAACTCAATAGTAGGAGTACGGTTTCGAGAGATAAATCCCAAAATTAGTAGAAAGCCATGGTTTATTGATATTTCAAATCGCCATATGATTAAAACTATAAATAGAATAAGATGTAAACATGGGTTATATCCTGAACACAAATTTAAGATAGGTTTGGCAGATTCCCCATTCTGTAGTTGTAGGCAATTGGGTAATTTACAACATTTAATCTTTAGCTGTCCTAATTTTCAAAATCTAAATGAAGAATTTTACAAGAACCTGCAATTAACAGGAGCAACACTCCCCACCAACTTAGATGCGCTTTTATGTTCAAAAAATATAAAACTGTACTATGTTATATATGAACATTTGAAAAAAATGAATCAAGATATTTAAAAAAAAAATACAGATATAATATTAAAAAAAAAAATAATAATAAAAACAAAACAAAAAAAAAGAAAAAAAAAAAAAAACAAAAACAAGAAAAAAAAAATTAAAAAGAAAAAAAAATATATAAATAAAAAAAAGAATTCGTCGACTAAAATATAATTATGTATAATTAATTGTATTACAACTGTTTTAACTGTTGTTTAATTGTTAATATGATGAAAATTTTGTACTTTTAATAGATTTTAGGTTCCTTCATTATTAATTATTGTATTGTTGTAATTTGTGAAAATTGTAAGTAGGTTTAGATTCGTTTTAATAACATTAGCTCTGGCCAATTGATCTGAGATCAAGGCCATCATACAAAACACACACACATTAAGAGAGTTAGTAAGTACAGTAGTTAAATACAGACGCCCACTGTCCATTCCACTTCTACCTAATTGTATCTAGATCTGTCTCATATTGTACTAGAAGAAAAGACCGTGGGAGATCGACCTTCACTCATCTGATAACCAGATAACGCATATTTTTTATAAAATTTTATTTATTTATTAACACGCCCTATGGGAACTTGCCATTCGAAAAGTGTTCATGGCTATTTTTAAATAAATAAATTTTAATCAATTTTTTTTTATACTTCACTTTTCTGGTGACCGAACAAATTTAATTTTAACAGATTGTTTTTAACATAGAATATATGCCTCGGTAGGCTTGTTTATTTATTTCTGTTCATGGCTACCTAGCAAGCAGGTATGAACAGAGCTAAGTCAATATAGATAACTACATCGATATGTCAACCAATAAAAGCTGATATCAGAATAGAAATAATTTATAAATAATAAACAATTAATAAATAATAATAAAGCTTACCTCCTATCACAGATACAGGTCCTTCGATTATCAAATTTGTCAAGGAGCTGTCAGAGAACATTAGGCTTTTGATAATTCCAAATGCAGCAACGGATACTGCATCATCTATTCCCGAAACAGCTATAATGAGCGTGGGGATGCCTTTAGCTACCCCATATCCCTTTATTCTCAGCCTGAACAGGCATGAGACTACGACAGCTGGAGATACTGCAGCTACAACTGAACCTAAAATAAAAAATCGTTTAATTAATAGTATGTTATATGTACCGAGTTAGGAAAACCTACATTTCTGGGGCGAGTGGGCTGAGTCTTAGCAGCACAAAACAAATGTATATTGAAATAGATTTTGTATATGGCTAGCATCGCTTACTCTGTAAAGTAATGCTGACACTTTCAATATGTAACTTTTATTTTAACTTTAAACCGCTGTAATTTTTACCATGGGTAAATAATTTAAAGAAAATATTTGGTATCCTAATGCCGCTTATTTGACTGAATTGGAGAGTCTCCCTATATTCCTGATTTATCCCAATACGATTCCCATTTGTTTGCAAAATATGTCAAAAAGTATCATATACTCGTATTATTTTAATTTAAGTTTTGTTTGAATGATCAATATAATATCTAAAATATTGTGATTGTTGAAGAATGGGGGATTACAAAATATAACCTGCACAAATAATGGCGATCAAGGATTTTAAAAGTTACTAAAAGTCTTAGTAAAAATCCGAATATTATTCAATAACGGAAGTGTTTCAACTTTGCCGTTTCATAAAACTTTTTATTTAATTTGAAATGGCTTCAATGTCTGCTCCAGTATCGATGGGCAATAAAATGAAAAAGTTTTAAGATATATCGAAACTTTGAATTTTTTATGTTTCTGGAGACTGGAACTCCGCGAAAAAGTTTTTACTGGTCGGTGCATATTTGCCGTATAACGAAGAAACTTTTTTTATTTTTGAAAATAAACGGGGCCTTGTGGATTAAAAAGTATGATTATAATATCATACAGAAAAACTATCTAAAAAATATACAAAATTGGTTTATATAGTGGGGTGTCCCATATTTCTTTTGACACATTGCTGGACGCTGAATAACACGAATACTACAACACTGATGAACTTTGGATGGGTGATTACTTATTTTAGCTCCCCCAAAGATAAATCCAAAAACAGAGAAATCATTTATTACGCTTTTGTCTTATTTCTTACGTTTCAGTAAATTATGTATTACACTACTGGATGATAATGGCGTTTTGCTGGACAAATACGGCGTTTTGCTGTACGTTTGCTGTACAAGATCAAATGCTGGCCAAACTTTGAAAATACTGTTCGTATAGTTATCCTATTATATAGAGAACTTAAAAAAATAAATATGCGTTTCGGTATATAGGGTGTTATTGAAAAGCATTCAAAAGTGACAGGAGTATAAGGTATGCAAAAACGAATAGCACCAAATAAATTCTAAAATTAATGGGATTTTATTAGGTCAATTTTCCCTTTTTCCGACCATCATTTTTACCATTAAACTGAACTAAATTACATCAACTGGGCATGTTCTTTTTGTCATTGCAGATCAGATTCTTTCTTCCTTCCTTGCTTCTGCCAAGGTAACCGGTATACGGATTACCTTGACAACTTACGTTAATTTAAATTCATGTTTTGCTCAGTAAGAACCCGTTTTTAAATTAAAGTTTAAAGTGAGTTCTGTAAATGAACTGTATTTCAAAATAGTGCAGGGCATAGTGGCGCATTCGTTTGCAAAATTGTTTTAATTCGTAATTTTTTTTTAAATGGCTTGCTTTATTATAAAAGTGTAAGATGACACTCGATATTTGTTGATGTTATTTTTTAAACAACGAAAAATTAATTAAGGCAAAAAAATGCATTTTTTGCAATGAATTAATTTTGTTATATTCTTTAGGATATTTCGAATATCGTATCTTCAACCCTTTAATTGTTATACATTTTTTAAAATCCAAAATTGACGAAAATTCAAATTTTCTTGAATTAAATAATATACCTTAAAATTTAAAATGCTATAATTTTAAATTTTTTACCGAATATTCAAACTATATTAAATAAAATAACCTTAATAAATTTTTAAAATTTTGTTTGTTGTATGTTTTTTTTACGTTATAACAATATGCTTCCTACGCGCGTGTACTTCCAACTCAATGTATAAGATGGGTAAGAGAAAGCCCGATGACGCGCTGAATCAATTTTTTGCTGTTTTTCAAAGGTAATAAGTTTAAAAAAATTAATATTAACATTTTTCATAACACTTTGTTATATTTGCCGATTAATAGTTTTGTATCGTGATTTTTTTTACTTTTTTAGATACTTTTTTTTATTTAATAAAGTTAACAGAAACATTTATTTTTAACATTTATTTTTATTCATGAAAAAATTATTGTCAGATACTGCCTGAGAAGTAAAATCTTCTTCAACCTTTTTTTTTTTTCAATACGATAAAAAAGTCAAATGCACTTGTCGTGATCCGTGAAAAATTTCTACCTGTTACAATGAACATACTAGGCTTACTGGGGTTATAAAATTTTATGATTTCTCCATTTAACAAAAATAAGGAAAAAAAAATGTTTTTTTCTAATATTGAGAGTAAGAACTATAAATATGAAATTTTTTTATGACTTTCAATCTATTGCACTATGAATACAAATAGGTAAAGGGACTTATTTCGTATTTTGAAAAAATTGTACGTTTAACTCTTCTTCTATTTTTTTTCCTGTCATAAACAATTTTTACAACCTTTCAAATAGAAAATTCAACCCTACCTTAGAATTTTTGGCTCGTTTTGAAAATAATTTTTCAGTTGTTAATCAGTCTTGCTCGATTCTACATCTACTGGTTTACTTTGCAGTCGTGTAATTTTCTGAATAATAATGTCGTTCTCTTTAATTTCAAAAAAAAAATATATTATTTGACGACAAAAAGTGTTTATTTTGTGATCATGGCGAGGCGCTAGTGAAGTGTCCGAAACCTGTTACATAATAATATTTAAAATTAAAAAATGCAACTCTTCGTCGAAACGATAACGTGACGGTGCGATTTAATTTGTTGTTTAATGAAAATACTAGTGAACAATCTTTTTGGTGGCATCGTGGCGCGTAGGAAGCATATTGTTATAACGTAAAAAAAACAACAAAACAAAATTTTGAAAATTTATTTAGGTAATTTTGTTTATTATAGTTTGAATATTCGGCAAAAAATTTAAAATTATAGCATTTTAAATTTTAAGGTATATTATTTAATTCAAGAAAATTAGAATTTTCGTCAATTTTGGATATTAAAAAATTCATAACAATTAAAGGGTTGAAGATACGATGATGGGCGTAGGGACTTTTTTTATTCGAAATATCCTAAAGAGTATAAAAAAAATTAATTTATTGCAAAAAATACATTTTTTCTGTCTTAATTAATTTTTCGTTGTTTAAACAATAACATCAACAAATATCGAGTGTCATTTTACACTTTTATAATTAGGCAAGACTTCCGGATATTTAAAAAAAATTACGAATTAAAACAATTTTGCAAACGAATGCGCCAGTATGCTCTGGTCTAAAAGTAATTCACGTCTGAACTTATTTCAAACTATCAGAAAAATTGAAACGTCAAAGTTGGGCGTTTAAACTAAGATCAATGTTTTGACATAATATATTTGACAATTTTTGTATATTTCACGTTCGCAGTAATAAGTGAAGACGATGGTGACATTACTGTCTATTTAATGAATTAAAAATTCGATAATAAAATTTATAATAACATATATATTTTAATCTAGAAATAATGCTTTAACTGCTAAAGTCATGAGTTATGGTTCTGTTAACTATACGATTTTTTGAATCGGAATCTTTCCTAAATACCACAGGCTACTTCTGTAGAGTAAATAAGGGTACAGCAAGCAAAATTTAGCAACAATTCGTCTTCTTTGCTCAAAAAATTGACGGTCTGTCATTTTTTTTCCATTTCGTACAATTTTTCAACTTTACTTTTATAAAATGTTTTTAAAAAACGTCAAATTGACATAGAGAATTCAGTTTTGTCACAAGTCTCTCGATTTAGAACTACCAATTAGGCATTACAAACAAATGAAACGCGGTGCTATGGTTTGGTATGTCTAAATGGTGGCGACATACGATGTAGTCTATCTACATTACGTAAAATCATAAATAATGGATTAAATTTAAATATTTTATATCAAACAAAATGTTTATTATATAAAACCGCCTATGCATTTTCTATAAATTGACAAGCTTGGCGACTACTATTTCAAATACAAATAGCGTCCTAGATGGAAGGCTATATCGCAACCCCCTTAGATTTACGAGCCCTTCCCACTGGCAGCTATTGTTTGACAGGTCGTTGGTTGGAACGCCTAATATAAAAAATAAACTTAGATGACCTGAACTGTGATTGAAAAACACCATTAAGCTCAGGTGAATGAAAGTTTAAACTTTTATTGAAAAACTGGCCCTTAGATAGCTACTCTTTAGTTATCTAAGTTTATATGTAAACAGAAACGTTTGCGCTGTTGCCGATTCGCTACAAAATGTATAAAAAATATTTTTTAATTAAATATATTCACTCAACATTGAAACTTTCAAAAAAATAAAAGCTGCACTAACACAAAAACACAAAAAAGACGTAGGTATACCTATTTTACCAAAAATAACACATAATGTATTTTTAAAACCGAAAACACTAAATTGCAACCCTAAATAATTGATCTAAATGGCGCCCGTTATTATTAAGACATGCTACTGCTCGTCTTTGTAAAGAACGCCCGAAAGTATTAAAATTATCGGTTCAGTTGATACAAACGTACGACCGTCAGGATGCAATAAAGAGTCTGTGCTTACCTAACAAAATAAAATTGACACTAACGACGTAATAAATCGGGTCACACAAAGAGGCTGTTTTTTCCTTTACATTTTGGTTTTTTATCTACTTTTATGCCGTTTACATACCATGTTGTACCTGTAACTCAAAAAATACTTTTTAGTTCAGGATATTTTACATTTGATGGTTGAAAAAATTGGTATATGTCAGCTGTCAATAATGTTGATGGGTCACATACTTTGATTTTCTAAGTATGTGTGATGGGTAGACTAAAGGCGTAATTAGTACATATGGTTGATTGTTTTATGGAACTTTGGATTTTGTATTTGACATAAATAGATAAAATAAAATCAAAAGGAAAAAGAG